GAGCCACGGGAGGGAGCCCCAGCTGAGCCAGGAGCCAGAACTGGATGGAGGCAGTAATTTCCAAGGCTGATGATCCCCACATTGTCCCAGGGAGAGCAGGGCAGGGTGCCTTGGGCAGGGCCTGGAGAAGGCCTACAGAAGAGGAGCGCAAGGCCAGAGAGGAGCCCCGCCAGATGTCCAGGCGGTGCGCCCCTCCCCCTTGCCCAGGACCTCACCCAGAAGGGCATTTTGCCCTGGACACTCCAGGGCTCCAGGAGCCATGTGAAAGGACAGGGCCCTGGATCAGTCTCCCCACTCTGTCCCGAGTTTCCCTTCATCTTAGGCACTCACTTTGAAACCTGTTGACACCAGACCCGGTTGGACGTTAAGGTATTTATTCAGTTTTTCTTAGAACAGCTGAGAGACTTGGGTTTTCAGAAGGAAGTTTATTAGTACTGAACGGGGCAAACAAGATCACAGAAAACACAGCTGTCCAATTCTAAAGCAGAACCTCTGCTCTCACCGTAATCCCGCCAGGGCCCCAGGACTGGGCAGCTGTGTGGCCTTCGAGTTGGCGCTCCCACAGCCCCTGCCCAACTCCACCTGCCACTATGCTCTTTTCTGTGCTCTGGGGACGTTGTCCAGGACGCACTACTCTGTGAGGTCAAGACCCACTTTGCTCCCTGCCACCCACCTGGCTCCTACAGGTGTCCCTTGAACAGTTGGTTGAGGCACCCTGGGCTGGCTGCCATCCAGGGGCTGACTTTGTCCCTCCGGGCCAGAGCCCGGCAGTGCTCACTCCTGCGGCACTGCAGTGGCCCCCTGACCCTGGGACCCACCGTCCTTATTCCAGTGGGGCTTCCAGCGAGACCTCACCTGTGGCTTCCCCGAGGCCTCCACCCTCCTGGAGGCCTCCCAGCACTGGGCAGAGGGCTGGTAGGAGCTCTCGCCCCTGGCTGGGTCCTGCCTGCCCTGGGTGAGGCACAGCAGGGCCCGGACCTGGCGGAGGAAGTTGGGGCTGGAGAAGCAGTAGAGCACGGGGTCCAGGACGCTGTTAAAGTAGGTGAAGGCCAGGCAGCCATGGAAGAGCTGCGTGCAGATGTTGAGGGTGTGGCAGGCATGCAGGCGGAAGGCCACCATGGAAGCCATGCCGAAGATGACGCTGGGTAAGAAGCAGGTAGTGTAGACGGCCACCACCACAGCCAGCACGCTCACAGCCCTCCGTGGGCTTGGCTGCCCAGCCAGCCTGCGGCGCTTGATGGTGAGCCCAATGCTTATGATAGCAAAGAGGATAAGCGCCAGCGGCAAGAAGAATTCCAGCATGAACAGTGCCTGGTGCCAGCGGAGCGATGCTGAGGGCATTGAGCCCAGCTGGAAACTGAGGCAGGTGTTGTTGGAATGGGGGGCCAGGAGCAGGTGCCCGTTGAGGAGCAGGATCCCCCCCCAGGGTGGCTGCCCACACTGAGGCCTGGCTCAGCATGTGGTGGGGCCTCACCACCTTCAGGTAGCGGTTGAGGGCAATGGCCGTGAGGAAGACCATGCTGGCCGAACGGTTGGTGGACAGCATGAAGAGTTGACTTTGCAGGCAGTGGCCCCAAAGTGCCATTTCTCATGGAAGAGGTAGTAGTCCACGCGAAAGGGCAGGTTGACGATCAGGAGAAAGTCGGCGATGACCAGGCAGACCAGAAACACGGTGTTTGACATCCAGGGCCGCAGGTGGCAGCAGAAGATGAAGAGTGCCAAGCTGTTCCCCACCAGGCCCAGGGCAAACTCCAGCCCCAGGGCTGGCGCCAGGAAGGCAGACACCGCGGGGGAGGAGGCTGGCTGGCAGGGAGGAAAGGCCTTGCCAGGTGACACGGAGGCAATCAGGAAAGCAGAGGAGGGGGAGGAGGAGGAGGTGGGAGAGAGAAAAGGAAGGAGAGGGGAAGAGCTCAGGTTATGAAATTCCGTGGGCTGCTTGAGCCATTGGCCTGAGAGGTTTCCAGTCTTTCTGCCCCTGCACGAGTGTTCGGGGCCAAGTGGGATGATGCTATCAGCTGGCCACCACGATGACTCAATATCCTGGGGTTTTCATCAGCATCCTTGCAGCCACTGAGAAACACCCAGCATTGCTGTTTGTAGGCAAAGAGGAACCCTGCAGCCCTCCCTCCTTCCCTCCCTCCCTCTACCTCCCCCTGGCACTGAGTGACCTGCGCAGGAGGTCCCGGAACCCAACCTGTGGGGTGGAATCTGTGCTGCCCTAGGCAGAGGAGGAAGCAGGGCTCAGCAGGGGTGAGATGGAGGCCCAGTAAGATGCTGGTGAGGGAGGCGGGCCCAGCTGAGGTGAGCTGGGGGAGACTGTTTGCAGCCCTGAGAGGTCAGACATTTGCTTGCCTGAAGTCAGTAGCTGCTTCTGAAAACCCATCCTTCTCAGGAGCATGTAGACCATGCTGGACAAGCCTCCCATCCCCTTTATATATATACAGCGCTGGCAGTAGGGACTAGGGAGCCCACAGGATGTTTTCCTGGGAGAGGGAGTTGGGGAGTCCAGTGAACACCCTGACCATCGAGCCCACGGCCTTGGAACCAGCCTGTTTGTGCTCTGCCAGCCCACTCTCGTTACTCCTGGATTCTTGCCTGTTCTTAAGGCTGTGATGGTCCCATTCCGTGCACAAGATGAACCATATCTTACAGGGAGGGCTCTCCTGCCAATTTCTACTGCCATGACCTGGGGACGTGGAGCTTCTCCCCCCAAACAGAGCAATCCTGAGAATCCCCAAGTTTTCCTGTCCTCTGAACACCCCACTCCATCCTACCCAGCATTCATAGCAAAGGGGAGGAGGGAGGCTGGGGCTGGTTTCAAACAAGGTACAAGTCCTGCTCTCTCGCTGCATGGCATTTTGGGGGGGGGGTAGTATTTTTTTAAATTAAGGTATAATTGATATACAACCTTATAAAGGTTTCACATGAGCAATATTGTGGTTACAACATTCACCCTTATTATCAAGTCCCCCCCGCCCAGACACCCATCGCAGTCACTGTCCGTCAGTGTAGTAAGATGCTGTAGAGTCACTACTTGTCTTCTCTGTGCCATGCTGCCTTCCCCATGAACCCCCTACATTACATGCCTTGTAATCCCCTTTCACCCCCTCCCACCTCTTTCCCATTGGTGACCACTAGTCCCTTCTTGGAGTCTGTGAGTCTGCTGCTGTTTTGTTCCTTCAGTTTTGCTTCATTGTCATATTCCACAAATGAGGGAAATCATTTGATACTTGTCTTTCTCTGCCTGGCTTATTTCACTGAGCATAATATCCTCCAGCTCTATCCATGTTGTTGCGAATGGTAGGATTTGTCTTCTTATGGCTGAATAATATTCCACTGTGTATATGTACTGCATCGTCTTTATCCATTCATCTACTGATGGACACCTAGGTTGCTTCCATCTCTTGGCTATTGTAAATAATGCTGTGATAAACATAGGGGTGATGCATGGCATTTTCATGAGCTCAGAGGCCAGGCCTGGGAGCAGAGATGAGGGCCTTAGGCTCCTGATAACCTAGGACAGCACTAAGGAAAGTCCAGGCCCAGGACCTTCCCTCCTCTCACTGCACCCCACCCCACCACACACACACCAACTGGCTGTGGTCAGCAGTGTGCCATATGCTACTGACTCTGCCAAGGCCCCTGGGTTCCAGGCACTGTGGCTGCTGCTCCTTCTCCTCCAGTTCCTCCAGGTCTCCCGTTTTGGGCTCCTGCTTGGCCGAGGCTGAAGGCAGGTGTGGTGCAACCACAGGGTGCACAGTGGTGAGACCACCAGCCTGAGCTCTGCATGCAGGCAGGCCTTGGTTGGAAACCAAGCAAGAGATACTTGCTTTCCAAACCTGTTTGGGCTTTCTGGAGAGTCATGAGGATCAAATGAGATAATGTCTGTAAAAACTTGTAGGGAATTCCCTGGCACAGAACTAGTGTTCAGAAAAATAGATCTAATTTTCATTTTTTTCTGTCATGGATTAAGCCTGCCCTTGGCACTAGGAACAAACTCCTCCTCCTGTGGCCACCTGTACCCAGCGTAGGGGGCCTTCCTGGGACATCCCTATATGCTCCTGGCTCCCGCACAGAGCCAAGCATTGCTGCAGCCCAAGGGTGTAGGAGGCCCGCCTTCACAGCCCTGGACTGTGTGAGTTTGGGGGAGGCGAGAGGTGTTTTTTCTTTGCTGGCAGGAGAGGAAAGCCTTCAGGGTGGAGCTGGGTGAAGGTCCCAGCACCCCGTAGGGGTGGAAGCCCTGTTAGCCAGCTTCTCCTCTCCCTTCAGTGGAGTGTGTCAAAGCAGTGAGCCACCAGGCTGAGTGGGCGAAGGCAGGGCTCAGAACACAAATTTTCCCAAGGAATCTGGACCTGTTCTGTCCAGAACCAACTTCAGTAACCTGAACCGTGAGACCCGCTCATCGACAGCTCATTGAAGTCCTGGGACACTGGGCCTGGATCTCCCACCACAGGTGTCTCTACCCACTGCTGCTTCTGGAGCTCCCAGCTCTCTTGGACCCTGTGTCAGGCCCAGGAGCCCTCCGAGTCCCTGCACACAGCGCCTGGACAGAGCAGGGGGAGCAGCATCCCTTCCAACACTGCCAAGCTCCTGATACAGCTTCATGCCCCTCTTAAGGCTCGTCACCCTTCCTGTATGAACAGTTGCTAACTCTGGGTGGGGATTTTGTGTTTTTATGAACTTGTGTTTTCTATAGTTAGCACAAATCTCTTCTGCTACTGGGGAGTAAAACCTCAACAGATGCTATTTTTTAAAGTTATGTAGAAAGAGTAAGTGAGAAAGAGAAAGAAGCAGAGGGACACCATCAGCATGGACATGCATGGATGGGCCACACACACAGTGACAAAAGCCCCTTTACAAGCAGGGACACCCAATAACAGACCTGTCCTGTCACACGTCTATGATCACCTGGTACCCTAACACCCCAGACCCACACACAGCTGTAGGAGCACATGGCATCTGCCATTGTGGATAGCTTATGTGTGTGCAGACCCACAGGCATTTATCCACCAGGAAGCCTTTATTGAGGGCCTTTTGGGGGCAGGCAAGTGCTGTGCTGAACTTTGGGGAGCCAACCATCTGCAGACCTGCCCAGGGTTCGGGGCAGAGGGCTGTTAGAAGAGGAGGGGATCCCAGGATTCCAGGAGGACAGGACAGGAGGAGGACGGATGCCAGGTCCAGGACCAGCTCGGAGGATGCTGACTTGCTTGGCTGCAGTACATGCAGAGGCAGTGGGGGGCTGGGAGAGTTATTTGGCAGAGGTGACCCTTGGGCACACTCTGTGGCTGTGTTGGGCCCAGAGCCAGAGGATCACCCCAGAGGCTGCTTGCGGGTGGGATCCTGGGTCACAGCCAGGGCCACAGAGCCTTGCCCTCGCTCCCAGGTATATCTGAGGAGACACAGGTGGATGGGGGTCAGAAAGGGCTGGGCCCTGAGGATCCCGGGGAAGGGAGAGCTGGGGGAAATTCTTCCTGTGTACTCACGCAGTCCCGGCTGGTACTCGGAGGCTGTCATCAGGGGTCAAGCTCAGCTGCTGTCCCCCCACTGTCACCACAGAGGAGCCCTCCTGGGAAAGAGGAGCAGGGGAATAGAATGTGGGCTGCGGGGCTCAGCACCTGTCCCAGTGTCCCTGCCTCTGCCTTGGCAAGAAGGCCCTGGAGCTGGTCTGGGCTGTGAGTCCAAGGCTCAGGAGCAACCTGGTTCCCATGGGCAGAAGGTCCCCCTGGTTCCCACCCTTCCCCTCAGCCCCACTTGCCAGCTGCCACAGCCACACGTCCACATCCTGTCTTGGGCCTTTGCTGTTGCCTTGTCCATGTACGATCACCTGGTAGGAAGTGACACAGATCTTTCTGGTGCTCTGTGCCCCACATAGGAGATAACCTTGAACCTGGCCCCCAGACACCAGGGCTGCGTGGGGCAGGAGTCGAGGCCACAACCCAGGCTTGTCTCCACATGTGGAGCAAAGACCAGAACTTGGAGAGGAGGGTTGCTCCCTGCTGCCTCTGCCACCACGGGTGCTGGCCCCCTGCCATTCGGGATTACATATGCCTGCCCTTCATGCACACATGCACACTTGGTCCCTCTGATGCATGTCACTATTGCTGACCCACATGAGGCATGCCTGCCATGGGCACACCAGGGACACACAAAGTGTGTAAATGGCATAGTGTAGATGCACGTAGCCTTATATACATAGCTCCTCAAAGGGTGCCACCTCCCTTCCTCCTTGACTCCTGGCCTGAGGAGGAGGAGGGAGATGGGAGGGGATGAGCAAGAGCAAGAGAGAGACTGAGCCTTTCGGACTTGCATCAGCCAAAGCCCACAGCTACTGTGCAGGCCATGCTCCTACTGGTTTGGAGTGGGACTCAGGAGATATTTGTTTGCATAACCCGAAGCAGGTAGGAGCAAAGGGGTGAAAGCAGAAGGCAGGGCCATGAGGTCAGCTCAGCGCTGAATGACGTTGCCATTACGGGGTGGGTGGGGCCTTGTGGCGTACGCCTGCTGTCAGCCCTGCATAAGCTTGTGTGTTTGCTGGCCAGGCCTGACAGGCAGGTCTGTATCAACAAGCATCCCTCCACAGTGGTGTCTCATTCAAACTGCCAGGGATGTGCCAGTGGCAAATTGTAAAGCACAAGCAAATGTGAGCCTTCTAGCAGGTCTCCTTGCCTCCACACTTGCCCTCCTGATGTGTCCCCACATATGGTACAGTGATCTTTCTGAAACACTGCTCTGGCCACAGTTTTAATGCTTGGGTGAAGCTCTGTTGTCTCCAGGATAAGTTCTTGCACCTTGCTTAGACCCACCAAGACCTGGACACTGGCCGCTACTCCAGCTGTCTAGCAATCGCACCTGCTGCCCCCCACTTCCCTGCCCTGGTTCCTGCCAACCTTAGCTACTTGCAGAGCAGGATGTTTCAAGCTTCCATGCCTTTGTTCATGCTTCTCACTCACCTAAAAGGCTCTCCCCCATTTCCCTTTCTTCTTTTTGCAAACTGCTGTTTGCTTTAAAATGCAGCTTATACATCACTTCCTCAAGGAAGCCTTCCCTGACATTGCTTCCAGCCTGGGTTCCTTCTTTATCTTCCTATGGCTTCCTGAAGCTTCTCTACCAAATAATGTATCACATGATTATGGTAACTGCTGATTAACTTATCTGTTTACCAGACCAAACACTCTTTCATGCAGTCCTGAAACATAATTGGCACTCAAATGTTAAATGATAGAAGGTCAGATTGGTTTGGGTCTCTCTCTGTGCATCAGGACCTACCAGGACCTGGACACCACCTGCTACTCCAGCTGTCTGTCAACTCTCACCCTCAAACACCTCTCTCCCAGCTCCCCAGGCTGTGACTGGCCAAAGGCTCAGAAATTCTCAGCAGAGGGCTAACTCCGGACCCTCAGGAACCAGTCAGTGGATGAGACAGCTCCCTACTCTGGAAGCAAAGAAAGATTGCTTGGACCACCTAGCCTCCACAGGCTTCTAGTCACAGCAAAATCACCATTCTCTAAGTCAGGGAGGAAATAGGCAGGCTTATGCCCACGTCTACAGTTTCTAAAACTGGTCTGTGTGTTTGTGTGAGTATGATTAGTTCTCACTTTCCAGGGCTGCTGCGTGGGCACCCTGGATGGCCCAAGACTACATTACCTGGGTCTCATAGGTGTCTCCAAACAGGCTGAGGGGTGTGCCTGCCTGAAGCTCCTTGCGGTGGCCATCCAGCCAGGCCTCCAGGGACATGGGCTCCATGATGGATCGTGTACTCAGGGGGAAAGGCGGTTCTTTGAGAAGCTGGTCTGCACCCATGGCACAGGTGTGGTTAGTGTCCTCTGGCCCAGCCTGCCCAGCCTAGTAGGCCCAGCCCCCAGGGGGCCCAGCTATCATCGCCAGAATGGGCTCTAGAGCCAGTTGAGGATGAAATAGTCATGTGGGGGTTTCTTTGTGGTGCCACCAACTTGTACCCTGAGTGCCTGGCAGAGCACTCAAAACAAGAGTGGTTGGCGCACTGGGCCAAGACCCCCCCTGCTCTGGGAAAGGAGGAAGGGAGAAAGGTGGTTCCCGGCAGCCTTACCAGGGATGGGCTTTCCTGTTCTGTGCTGCTCAGAGCTGAAGAACCTGCAGGGACACATTGGGAGGTGGCCAGTGTTCCCGATTAAGAGGCCAGTGTGACACGTAAACACACACTCACAAACTCTCAGGCGTAGGAGCTCACACACTTGTAGGACCCTCACATGACTTGGTGTATATATTGGCCGTCTTCTTCTCAGAGCAGTGGAGTGGCCCTTGCCCTCCCCAGGGCGCTGTCCAGCCCGGGCCCTCCCACCCTGGAAGGGGCAGACTTTCTCCCTAAATTTAGGACTTGATGGCTCCAGTCTGGCAGGTGCTGCTGCACAGCCCTGCTGGGATGGGTCAGCCCTGCCCTGCCAGGGCATGGGGCCTTGAGGGAGAGAGGGGCAGGGGCTGGGCTGGGGGCTCACTCCTGGATGATGGGGGCCAACTGTGTGCCGAGGTCCTCACAGTAGAACCACTTCTCAAACAGGACGTCCGCAGTGTCCCCTATGTAGTACCTGCCAGAGCAAAAGACAGGCAAACCCAACTCCCCTCCGTGGCGGCCTCAGCACTGCCTCCCACAGACCTGACCCTGCCTGTGAAGTCGGCCCTGGCGGGCCCCGCAGAACTTGCTGCCTGCTTCCCGTTAGCGCCACCTGTTGGTCAATGCTCGCTCACCCACAACCAGCTCTCCCAGAAGCACCGTGTGCCCCCAGGGTGGGAGGGCTGTTAACACCCCCAATCGGATAGCCGTTCTTGGTTCCCAGTACCAGACCATTTACAAAGTGTATAGAAAGAACTCTGAGGCTCAGGGAAGTTGGGCCACTTGGCAGGGATCACACAGCCTGTAAGTGGCAGAGGCAGGATAGCAAGACAGTCTTAGAAGCACAGAGAGCATCAATGACAAGTGTCTCCACTCTTTCCAAGGGAAGCTGAAGCTGGGCCTGAATCCAAAGCCTGCAGCTGCATGCTCTGCCTGTCTGCACATGAAACATTACGGAACCAACATGCAGAAGATGCCCCCAGATGAGAGGTCCTTTTCCTTTTGGGATCATAGGTGCCTTTTGGGAATTGGAGCAAAGCCATGGGCCTCTCCTCCCAAGGCAGGTCCATCTGCGTGTACACATAGCCTCTAGTAGATGCCCTGAAGCCCACCCAAGCCCGGAGCCCAGCTCCTCGAGATCCTTCACTGGCCCGAGGAGTGCCTGGCAGACCGGGGTCATGCCCCAGGCCCTATGTGTGCAGCCCATCTACGAGCTGAATCCCTAATCCCCAGGCTCAGCTTCCAGAGCCAGGCCACCTCTGTCTGCTCTTCAAGTCTTTCCAAAAAGAGCAGTGGTCCTGCTTAAGGGAGACGGTTTACAGACACAGTACATCCACCCTGCCCAGCACCCTAAGTTCTATTCTTGGATGGAGCTGGCCACCCGAAAGCTTCATAACTGAACTTTACTGTCCTCCAGGAATTGTTCTCAGAGCGGCATTTTAATGTGGAGTCTCTAGCTTTTATTAAAGGTCAAAAGCAGCCAGATGAAATATGTTACTGAATTTGCTGTAAAAATGTTATTGAGGACACTGTCCTCACCGTCACTAAAGGTGCCTTATACAGAGTCCCATGTGAAGAATTTCTTTTGGAATTTAAGGCCATGCATCTGTTTCTACAGTGGATAATTATGCAGTAGATTAGTATGCAGTCATTAACATTGTACTTTTTGAAAAGCATTTAATACTATGAAAAATACTGTATTTTTTATACTGTACATGGTTTTATAATGTGAAAAAAAAACAAAACCTGACCCCGTGCTCACAGTGAGGTGTAGATATGCACAGAAAAAAGACAAGATGGAAGTTTAAGTCCTTTTTAGGTTTAATTGTTAGGATGAATTTTTTTTGTTTTCTCTTTATCATTATTTTGTTTTATTGATTTATCATTCATATACTGTAAAATTCACCGTTTTCCTGACAAACAATTTTAATTTTGTTCATTTTGCTTTCTTATAGTTTGCCAGATTTCAAGACTGAATGTGTATGACTTTGGCAGTTAGAAAAAAGGGAAGCATTTAAAAATGTCCATTATGACAAAAGATATGGGGCAAAGTATCCTAGTCCTGGTAACTGGTTGGGAAAATTTGATTTTCTTAGTTAAAAAATATAAAAAGTTAAAAAACTTTTGGAAGAATCTGTGTCCCCCTGAGCCACAGGCTGCATCCTTCTTTCAGAGATTAATAATCAGGTGACTGATTGGAACCAAATGGGAACCCAGCTGTAGAAACAGAGTGCCTGCCTCTGCACTGCATGCCCATCTAAGCCCCTGCTTGGTGCTGACTCACACGCCTATCTAGACTGTCCCCGTCCTAACTTTATTTTCTTTGTAATGCCAGCTCTGCCACTTTCTAGCACACTCAACTTCCCTGTGTCCAGTTTCTTCACCTATAAAGTATGGATGATCACATCCTTTGGGTATAGCACCTTGTGATAATTAAATGAGTAAATCCATGCAAAGCGCTTAGCCCCGTGCCCGCGTCTGTAAGTATGAGGCATGAGGCAGATGCGACTGCGGGCGGCGGAGTGAGCTGGGGTGGAGAAGCAAGCAGAAAGCAGGCGCACTGGCAGGGACTGAATCAGCTCTGGGGTGGGAGACTGGGAGAAGCACCAGCAGCGCTGCAGGCCGCCTGGGCCACCCAGGGCCAGGTGGGTGTGGCTCTGGCAGCCCCACAGGGCCCACCTCAGTGCGGAAAGCACAGGTTAGCTCTCAGCCAGGTCTCCAGGCTGAGTGAGCCCCAGGGAGAACAGGGAATATCCTGCTACCCCCATCCTCAAACCCGTACCACCACTTCCCCTGACACCTCCCTATCAGCCAGCAAATTCAGGACCTCCGTTGCTTCCAACCTCTCAGTGGCCACAAAGTGCTCTCTTGGATCCATCCAGGGTGCTCTGCTGCGGGCCTCCCTCCCTCCACACAAGCCCCTGTACCTGAGCCCATCCAGCTCAGTTTTCAGCCGCCTCCGTTCAATCACCACTCCCACCGTGTTGGCAAACCTCTGTGGAGAATGGGGGACCCCAGCAGGCAGGAGGAATATCTGCAGTGGTGGGACAAGATGCCAGCAAGGCTGCGACCCCCTGTGGAGACCTCAGTGCCTGCAGGGTCCTGAGCCTCCCCTGACCCATGGGGCCCAGCCAAGCCCACCTCTCTGCAACAGGGGAATGTGAGGCTGTGCTGAGGATGGGCAGCCCGGAGCAGGAAGGGTCCGAGGAGGGGGCTGGGAGAGCTCAAGGGCAGGCAGGCAGGCAGGCAGGCAGGCAGGAAAAGACAGATGACAGCCAGGATGAGCGCACGATGGGTTCCGTGCTGGTGGCCCTTTGCCTCCTGCCCTGGGGCCCAGCCTCACTTCTCCCTGACGAATGGTCACATCCCGGTGTTTCCCTCGCTCCAGGACTTGGAGAACCATGTCACCCTCCAGCTGGTAAAACACCTGTGGGACAGGACAACAGACAGGCTTGGACCCTCCCCACTCTTCCAGGTCCTTGGCCTGAGTTCTGACTAGGAAACCTGAGAAACTTCCTGCAGAGCTCAGAGTTTATGAGCAGCTCCATCACGCCTGCCCTGAGGTCCCAGCCTCCCCAACACATGCCACAGACAGGAGTGCTAGGAATACACAAAGACTACATCTTGACACATAAGTGGTGACCAAAGTATCCAGGACACAGTAGTAGGTGCCTGGTGTGAGCAGGAGGCTGGCTGAAATGCTCACTGGAGAGTTCAGTGACCCTTCAGCCAGGTGAGGAGAACCACCCATTTACTGTGTCCCTGGGGCTGTGCAAGCACTTTGTCTATACGTTATCAGAAATCTTTGCAACGTCCAAAGGTATTATTAGCCTCATTTTGCAGAAAAGAGAAAAAGAAAATGGAGGCTGAGAGAGTAAAGCACCTTGCCCAAGGTCATACAGTTAGTCTGGAGCTGCAGTTCAGATCTGAGTCTGTGTATAGGTGTGGAGCCTGTGCTCACTCCTCTGCCCATAGGATGCCCTGGCATAGGGCAGGGTGAACCTGTCCAAAGCCCTTTGGAGGTTGGCCTTGTAAATGGTGAGCTCAGTGGTGCTGGAAGCCGGCGGGGTAGTGGTGGTGGGAGCTTTGGGAGATAGGAGCACATGCCTCCTGCTAGCTCCCTGTGGTGGGAGCGGGGAGGCGAGGTGGGAGGCCAATTGCATTTTTCTTATTTCATCCTAACTCCCTAATTAATGTGTTTACTGAGATCACCCCATGGAACTGGGAGGGGGACAAAGTAGACACACTTTTCTTTCCACCTGTCACACATTGCACAATGTTAAAAGCCCCAGCCAAATAGCTGAAAGGGCATTATTAATAATAATCATCATCATCATGTAATGAGTTAAAAGGTCATAGATGTTCTTGTCACAGCATCTACTAAGAGAAATCAAGGTGAGTTCAGAGAAACTAGAGAAATGTGGGTTTAGTCTGCCAGGAGAGGCAGGGTGATATAAACCCTGTGAAAAGGGCAGTTTGGGAACAGAAATGCTTTCATAGCTCACACCCCTCCCTTGTAGGGCATCCTTAGGGGTTTCTTGGGATTCAGGACCTTTTGTGCTAAACCGGAAAAGTCCATGGAAACTGGGACGATCGGCTACCCTACACCCTTGACCTAGTATTTCCACCTCTGTGAAGGTGGCTGCCCTGAGTCAGAAATACATCTGCCTCAAGGTGCACACTCATGGCTGTTTTGTCACAGTTCAGGGTAGCTAAAAGCATAGATTTGAGTGTCACTTTGCCCTCAGCTCAGCCAGGTAGCTGTGTACCTTTGGTCAATTGAGGTAACCTTTCTGTGCCTTCATTTTCTCACCTATAAAATGACAGCATCTCCTTGAAATGTTGCTGTGAAGTCTGCCTGGGGATGCTGCACACAAATGTACCCAGGACATAACACTCAATAAACCTCTAGCTATTAATATTAGTGATGGCAGGAATAGCAGAAATAATGCTAATAATAATAATAATAATAATAATAATAATAGGGGAAGTGTCATTATGTTATGATAGAATCAAAATATGGAACATTATGCAGCCATTAAAAACTGTGTTTGAAAATAACTGTTAATAAAATGGGAAAATGGAAAATGCTAAAAGTCACCATTTTAAAGCAAGATTCAAAACTACACCCAGGAGGATCCTAATGATGTAGTGATGTATACATAAATGCAGGTAGTGTTCACAGTGTTTCCTGAGTGGTGGGATTGTCAATGAGGTCTACATTTATCTTTTCTATATTTGCATGTTGTCTATAATAAACAATGTATACTTTTATTATTAAAAATAACCCATGTAAGTTATTTAAAACAAATAAAAAAAACATACCAGCCTCCCTTGGGGAGCAATTCTGCAACCCCACCTTACTTTCCGCTAGCTTGGAGGAAGCCCTTGTATGTGTTGGGGGTTCGGGGTCCTTCCTTGGTTGGAAGGAGAGGAGGAAGGGCTAGAGAGAACGGGTTCTTGGGAAGGGGCCACAGCCCTTAGCGCCCGCAAGTGTCAGGTTTAGGGTTGGGAGTCTAGAGTGGTGTTCTGGGCTACATTCAAACCCTTTCCAAGGTCATCTAACAAAAATATAGAAAAGAACAGGCTTGCTCCTCAGTTTTGTCTCTCTGCCCAGAGGCTTTCCCTGTGTTGAGAAACAGGCCTGCCCTGGCCTAGAGTCGAGGTGTAGACGCTGAACAATAGAAAATCCCGAGCCGCGGGCAATGCAAAGGGAACTATTCTCCATTTGGAAGTAAATGATGTCTGGGGCCTGGGGCCAGCTAGAAGATTAACTGTACAGGCTCAGGCAGATATTAAATTGAATCTGAACTGGGGGCCTGGAAAGGCTTTACAGGAGGGGAGGTCAGGGAGGGGCTGGGGTGGATTAAGAGAGCCAGTGTGGATTAAGTACCTACTCAGTGCCAGGTTCTGTGCACATATTCTACACACTGAATCCTTAGACTAGGCCGGGGCTCATGTCCCCGTGTGCTGCAAGGAAACAGGCTCAGAGAGAACATGGTGTAACCTGTCCAATATCATGTGGTTAATAAAAGGCAGACCAAGCCAGGTCCTGCTGATGCCCAGCTCAGGCTCCCTCGCCTGTGCCACAGAGGAAGGAGTAAGGTAGGCGAGTATGTGTTGGGGGTAGAGCTGTGGCAGAGGTGAGAGCTCAGCCAGGAGGACAGTTTGGCTCAGTGACTTCCTTTCTCTCACCAGGGAGGAGCCTGGACCTGGGGCTAGGGTGGCTCCCACTTGGTGAGGACAGGCAGGGCCAGAGGAGGCTGACCCTCAGCCCTGCAGCCTCCCACGGCCTGTGGCTGGCTCCCTGCACCTCAGGGGGACCAGCCTGTCACACACTCACCTCTAGCCAAATTCCTCTCAGCCACCTGAGGTCCCTCCAGAGTGGGGACACCTGCTCAGGCCCACCCTCCTCAACTGTCAGCCACCCAGCTGAGTCAGGGCTTGGCCTGGGCCCCTAAGTGGACGCCCATCCACCAGAGCAGCTTGGCAAGATGCCAAGAAGGGGCATAGGGCAGAGGTGATGGGGGCAAGGGAAGGAAGCAGAAGGAAGATGGGAGAAGTGGATTCTGCAAGCAGGGCTAACAGAGTGGAAGCCTATGAAAGATAATATGGGGGGCCTGAGGCTGACTGGTATAGGCAGGAGAGACCCTGTAACGGGCCTGTCCCCTGACTGGCCACTCTCAATCTAATCCCATCTTCTGTCTGTAGCTTTGGATTTTCCTGCTGATTTTTTTCCACATAGGAAAATGGTCTCCAGTGAGGTGTGTTGTGAGAAGGGAGTGGCTGGGAGAGATGCTGGGTCCTGGAAGCATAAGAGATGATGAGTTGGATGGCTCTCCTCTGCCAAGGTGCTCCCTCCTGGCCTGGGTCTTCACTGCCCTGCCCCGCAATGCGTTAGGTGCTCAGTAAATAACTGCTGAGTGAGTGGTTCTCCTGTGCTCCCTCCAATCCCTGGCTGTAGTTGAGATACCAGAAGGGATGGAGGCTGGTAACTAAGCTGCACTCTGGACCTTGAACCCCAGTGTCAGGACCCCCAGGATGATAAGTGGGGACCACCATACTGATCTTTTGTCACCAGAGATTCTGAGAGCTGGGAACTTGTCTGTGTCCCTCCTTAAGGGAGCTTATCTTTTTCTTTTAATTTCACTTTTGTTTATTTACTTTGCGGTAGGTAGTACAGAAACACGGTTCAAAATTCAAGGTACAAAAAGGTATTCAGTGCAAATTCCCCCTCCCACCTATCCACCTCCACTCACCATCAAATAGCTCCTAGAAACTGATGCTCTCTAAGAGGAAGGGGCCTCCCAACCCCAACCCTTGCTGAAGAACTTGGCTCCTACAGTCAGAGTGGAGCTCCCAGGTCCCCCTCAGAGATTGGGTCTCACTTTGGAGGCCCATCTTGCACATTCAGGTTTGGTTGGGGAAGGCCTCTTTGTCCAGGGGGTGATGCTAGTAGCTAGAGCCTCTCACACCTGCAGAGGCTGGGCTGTTTCTGCCAGGCACACAACGTTCAGCAGTTTTGCCCTTTGACTTCTGTTGTGCTTCCTTCACCCATGAGCCACCTGACCACCCCCCTCTCCCTAGAAAGTGTCCCCTCTCCTTGGGGCTGGGTCAGGGGAGGGCAGTGGGCAGGCCTACCTCTTCACCCTCTTCGATGTGGTAGTCTTTCCTGATGTTGGGACCCCCGACAAACATGACTTTGAGCTGCTCCTGGTGCCTGCAATGGATGAGGGGGAAGAGGTCCTGAACCAGCTGGTGGGAGAGAATAGGAGGAGTACAGGGGCCTGTGGGGGTCCTGGGGACACCTGGGAGAGGTAACAGCTATTTCCACATCACTGTCCCTGTCAGTCTCCATTCTCATCCCCATGTGCCTGTGTGCATCCAAATGTCTGTGTATGTGTTGGTCTGCAAGCGTATGTGTGTCTGTGTCTCAGTGTATTTGTGTGTGTATACATCGCCCTTGTGTGTTCTCCACATCCTCTGACCCAGCAGGTGGAAGACCTAGTTCTTTATCGACCAGGATCCCTGGGCTGTGCACAAGGTCTTCAATCAAAGAACAAACTGCAGTCCCAGCTTCCTGGGGCTGGGGGTAGTGTGGGGTAAAATGACCCTTATCTACCCCTTACCCCCAGACCCTCTGCTTCCCAAAACTGCTGAGCTTGAAGTGGCGAGGCACTGGGGAAGGAAGTGGAGTGGAAAGCTGGGCACAGACCCCCCACAGACTGGAAGCACTGTGGGCTGTTGTGGTGTGGGGGTGGTCTTAGGGAGATGGGGAGAAGGCCAGATCAGGACAGTGACCCTAGGCCTCAGAGGCTCAGCCAAGGAGTTTGGTCTTGGCCTGAGGGGTGCCAGGGAGCCTAGGAAATATTTCTTTGTTTAATCAACTTTACTAAAGAATTTAGGTATATATGGGAAATTCTTTAATGACTCCACTCAAGAACTATTTTAACCCATCAGTCAGAGTACATAAGCCAGATGATGTGCCTCCTCTGCTCAACACCCTCCAGCAGTTTCATATACTCTCTATTCCAAGTTCATATGTTGAAGTCTTAACCTCCAGTACCCCAAAATGTGACCTAATTGGGAAATAGAGTCGTTGCAGATGTAATTGGTTAAGCTACGATGGAGTCATACTGCAGTAGGATGGGCCCTAATCCAATATAACTGGTGCCCTTATCAAAAGGGGGGAGTAGATACAAACACACTCACAGGGAGAATGCCAGGTGAGGATGAGGGCAGAGATCTGGGCAAGGCAGGAGAAGCCAAGGAATGCAGATTGCCACCACTCCACCAGGAGCTAGGAAAGGCCTGGAGGGGATTCTCCGTGATGGCCCCAGCAAACCCAGGGAGTAGAGCCCCAGCTGTTCTGCCCTGTGGCCTGCCAAGTCTGCCTGCCTGCTTCCTCCCACTGTAATATTTGCTTATATTTAGTGGCTGCCTCCTCCCATTAGAACATCAGCTCCCTGAGGAAGGGACTTTAGTTTCCTGCTGTATCTCCAGTGTCCAGAACAGTGCCTGGCAAGCAGTAGGTGCTCAGTGAACATCTGCTGAATGAGTAAATGCTGCATCTTTTGATTATCAAGATTGGGGCAGTGCTGGAGCGCTGGGTAGGGATCTGGAGGCAGGGCCTCAGAGGTGATAAGGGTGGAACCAGAATAGTAGCCGTAGGGATGTGAGATGCCTTTAGGGGAGAAACTGGAGGAGGGAGACTGGGACTGTGGACAGGGGGAAAGAGTTGAAGGTGCCAACAGTAGAGGGACAAGGCTTTTGGGGAGATGCTGCTAGCCATGGGAGTGTTGCACACTGACCAAGTGTGGACTTTGGAGTCAAACTCTTCCCTGGGCTTGAGTCTGGACCCTGTCCCACACTAGTTCTGTGACACTGGTAAAGTTACTTATTAAAATCCCACCTCCTGGGGCTAGTATGAGAATGAAATGAGATAGTACAAAAACACTTGGCAGCCTCTGGCTTGTCAAACTGTTAGTGACTGGAGCTGTGGTGGTTTCAGGGGTCAGCCTGTTGCAGACCCAGCCAGCATGGGATTGTGAGCCTAGAGCTGCAGAGCCAACCAGGCCAGGCTGGGGCTGAGGCAGGGGGAGGGAGGGGCCCCAGGAAAGGGCCTGAGAGGTCTGCCTCTCAAGCCTGTGGCTGCACCACAATGAGTGGTGGTGTGTCCTGAGAGCCCAGGTGGCTGGGAGGGCCTGGTAGGAGTGTGTGTAGGAAGAGCAAGAAATCCAGACCCTCCCAGAGTAGCTGACTGTCTGACTTCATCCTCTGCCAGGTGGCTTCCTGGACAGTTGGGTGTAGGATTGGGCTATCCCCAGACCCGGATTCTACTGCAATTCTGGGGCATTGAAAACCACCCTCCCAAACTTCTGAGACTCACTGGGGGTTGGAAAGCTGCTTCTCAGCCCTAGGGGAGGGGGGTTAGTGCTGCGACCTGCCATAAGCATCCCTCCTTGCTTCAGATGGGCTGCAATCTCTAAGGCGGTCTCCAAAATGAGAAAGAGGCGACGGTGGCGGAACCCTGAACAGCCTGTCCTCACCCTCCCCTAAAGGCACTTTGAAGATCACCCCTTTCTCCAGGGTTCTGGGTCAAGGACCTGGGGGCTGAGGTTGAGGGGTGAGGGTCACGATGGAGAAGGAGGTCGGGACAGAGGGCAGGGGGATGCGGGCCGGCCTGGGACTCACAGGAGCTTGTTGCAGACCGGGGGCAGGAAGGAGCCGCGGTTCTCCCTCACCCAAGTTTTCACGCTCACGGGACGCTCCATGGCCGCGCGCGGAGCCGAGCTGCGGGCGGCGTCCTCCCAGCCGGTCGTCGGAGGGGCGCGACTCCGCCCAGCCGCCTATTGGCTGCCCAGGCAATCAGCATTCCCAGGGTCAAAGGCTGGGGCACCCCCCGGGACGCCGCGGGCTCCGGGCTGGGGCCCCTGCTGTGGCCCCTCTCGGACTTTGGTCTAGAGCCCGCCTACCCTCCCAGCCGCCCCTGGCCTGCGCCCGCCGAGCCCTGCGGTCTCCGCGCGGGGAAGCGGGTGGGTGGGTGTCGGAGTGCACCCCTGCGTCCCCACCAGGCGGGCTCCGCGCCCCCGCCGCACATCCTGGGGCGCCCCGCACACCCGCGCGGGAGTTGGAAGCCTGCTACCGGGCCCTTGTCCCCAGACTTTACGCCTGGACCCCAGGGAGGCCCCGAAGAAATACTGTAACGCGGAGAAGGCGGGTTTGGGAATCCGAACACCTGAGTGTGTAGGTGTGCGGGCGCTGGACTGAAGCCTCGGTTTACTCGTCAGAAAAATGGGAATGTCTACACAGCTGTCTCAGGGTTGCCCAGCGACCATCATAGGCCCCATTTAATGTTAGTCGCCTGTCCTCTCAGGCGAACTGAGTCCAGGCCAGAGTCCCCAGATTTACTGAGTGCCGCTCGCCAGGCTCCACCTTCGCCTGGAGGTAAGCGGTTCAAGACCGGCCGGAAGGGCGGCTGTGGGCCCAGCGCTGCGGGGCCCCGGGGCGCGGTGGGACCCGCCAGGTCAGGTTGGAGGGCGCAGTGGGCACACCTGCCTTCACAGGTGGCAGGCAGAGTATGGGCAGGATGCGTGGCACTCTTCTGACCGCTTTCAATGGCTTAGGGATGCACTCAAGCATACGACAAAGAAGAACCGGGCGCTCTGTGTCCGAGCCCTTGGGCATCTCTCGGTGCGGGGTGGGGTCGGGTGGGACAAACCTGTTACAGCCTGGGGTGATGCTCGACCCCAGTGACCCTCGGGGGCACGGGAGACACCTTGTGCCAGAAGAACCGGGTGGGGGCGGAGGAGGGGAAGGACAATCGGACAGCTGCTTTCTTCTCTTTGGAACTCAGAATTCGTAGGAAATGTGCGCGTGTGTGGTGGAGGAGGGTTGAGTGGGGAGTTGGTAGGTGGGGGAGAAGGAGAATAGCTCAGGCTCTGACACCAGAATCCACACTATAGAGTTTAAGAAATTCAAAACTCCCCTAACTCCTGCCCTCACAGCCCATCTGGCACCCCCCCTGTTGCTTCCTGTGGGCTGTGCTCTCCGCAGGCTCAGACCCAGAGACTTCCCCGTGCAAATAAAACCCCAGTCAAGTAGGAAACAGGATTCCCAGCCACCTCTGCTAGGATGCACCCTCTTGTTTCTTCTCCACCCGTCACCTCTTTACTCCCATTCTCCCTCCTTCTTTCTTTCTAGTTATTCATTTAGAACTTTTTTCCCGGGCATTTCTTTCTAGAATGTTGTTTGGCACCAAAGTAATTCACAACATGTTCTTTATCTTTCTCATGTAAGTAATCAGAAGAGATGTTACACTGACACATGAAACAGCAAGAATCTATGATGTGTGAGGTTTGCCTTGGATGTTTGTTAAATGGATGGGTGATGGGTGAGTGGGTGGATAAAGGCATGAATGAATTCACACTAAAGGGAAAACAATTAGTTTAACCCAACAGATGTTCTGTTACACAGTACAAAGGAAAGAATGATAGTTACCTTGTATTATAATCTATGTAGTCAGATAATGTGAATAATTGAGGCCACATGTAGAATGTTTGGTTCTGAATTATCCATATGAACCCTAAACAAGGATTTGCTGAATAATCTGCTGTATAGTCACTGTCAAATACGCCCTCTGGTTTGTGTTGTGTAGATAAAACTCCGTGTCTAATCAGTTGGCAAGCCTCCCATGTTGGATGTTGGGCAGTTTGACATCCTATCTGTCTGGCTGTTTGGCATTGTTTAGTCACAGCCATCTGGAATCCTTCTGGATGTTGACCTACATGGGCTTCTTCTAGTTTCTGGACCTTACCTGCTTACAGTAGCCACTTCTTCCCTCTGCACACTGAAGCTTGTCTGCACTGTGGAATCCGAAACAAACATCTGCCCTGGGACCACGGCTCATCAGAGCCTGTCCTGCTTGCTGGGGCCTTGCCCTGGCTTCCCCTGGATGGTGTGTGCCTGTCCACATCCCTGAGTCCAGTAGATGCTTCTAGGCTCTGCTGAGCCTGGCTGATGATAATTGTCAGACCTCTTCAGTCTTTCTATGGACAGAACTCTTTGCTCCAGCCAATCCCTTTCCCAGCCTACCTTGGTGGGTCTCTGTCTGTCTTTGCCTCCCTGACACTCCCACTTCCCCACTTTTCCATGTAATTCAGCAAACATTTAACAACAAATATTTTTATGTGAATAAAAGATAATGAACTGTACTGGTTATTTGAAAACCTGGGTTTCTAGACCTGCTCGCTCTTAAACATGAATTATTTTCAAGTCTGTTAAAATTTCTAGACATACGGTTGGTTAATATTTTTGTTTTGTTTTAGGATTCCTTTGGCTATCATTCTGTTTTTCATTACCAGTTTTATTGTATTGTGGTGAGTGAAGATGGTCTGTATATTATTTTGGGTTGTGGGGGATGTGTTAAGATTTCTTTTGCAGCTTAGCCTGTGGTCAGTTTTTGTGAATGTGCATTCTCTGCTTCGAACGCAGGTCTAAATGTTCCTGTCAGATCAATCTTCGGTGTTACCCAAAAAATCATACCCTTTTTTTCTTTTTTAGTTGTTTAATATTTTAGTTTCTGAGAGAAGTATGTTGAAGTCTCCCACTATAAATGTTGGTCAGTGTCTCCTTATACTTTACATATTTTTATTCTAAGTTGTTACATGTAAGAAAGCTCCTATTTTATCTTCTTATTGTAGTGTTTCTTTTATCAATATGAAATGTTTCCTCTTCATTTCTTTTCACCTTGACTTCAACTTTGTCTGATGTTAATATCACTACCCCTGCTTTTTGTGTTTGTTTTTCCAGGTATGGTAAATTGAAAATATGCCATGATAACGCCTTCCCTTCTTGAATCCATACTCTTTGCAATGTGACTCTGCCACTCCAAAATCAAAGATGGAGTGTTTCCCTGCCCATTGACTCATGGCTGTCACTGTGATTTACTTTGAGTACAGAAGGCAGCAGAACGATGCTGTGGGGCATCTGAGTGGTGTCCTCACGCGAAGTCTTGCAGCCACTGAGCTCACCACCTGGAAGGCTGCTGCCACTACATGCAGAAACCTGGGCTAGTCACCTGGAGCACAAGAGGCCTTGTGGAGAGTGGGTTTGGCCACAGCCAGCACCAGCTGTATAAGACCATCTTTGACCATCCAGCCCCAGTTGATGGGCTAGATGATGGCAGCTGCGTGAGTGATCCCAGGGGAGCTCAGCAGAGGACCTGTCCAGCAGAGCACAGGTCATATTTCTAACCCACTGAGTGAATAAAATGTTTGTTACTTTAAGTCATTAAATTTTGAGGTGGCTTGTTACACTGCAGGAGGTATCAGAGGCACCAGGTTATATTCTAGCATAACCTCTCTGTGCCATTTTGCTTTAGGTATATTTCTCATGAATGGAATGTAGCTGAAGTTTAAAAATCTCCAGTCTGAGAGCCTTTGTTTTTAAATAGGTGGATTCAACTCTTTCATTGTTATATAATTGCTGATATGTTTGGACATACTCCTGACATCTTATTTTGGGTTTTCTAATTGCCATACTGTGTTAGTTTCCTATTGCTGCTATGAAGAATTACAAACATAGTGGTTTAAAATGACACACATTATTTTACAGTTCTGGTGGTCAGAAGTCTGAATGTGCCTTAGGGGCTAACATCAAAGTATTGTTAGGGTTGTATTTTTTCCTGGGAACCCTAGGGCAAATCTGCTTCCCTGCCTTGTCCAGCTAACAGAAGCCGCCTGTGTTCCTTGGTTCCAGGCCCCTCCCTCCTTTGCTAAAGGGACTCCAGCCTATGTTCTTGTGGCCACATCTTCTTTCTCTGTGACTCCCCTGCCCCTTCCTTCCCTTAAAACCTTGTGGTTCCATTGGACCCACTTAGAGAACCCGGGCTAATCTTTCAAACTCCTTAATGTGATCACATCCACGCAAGTGTCATGTAAGGTGACATAGTCACAGATTCTGGGGATTGGGACATGGAGATCTTTGGTAGATGGAGTAGATAGGAGGCTGGGGCATATTCTACACACAACACATACCTTCTTGTTTTTTTCTTTTTTCCCCTAGTTTATCAGGATGCTCATGGCTGCAAATAACAGAGACCCTAGTAAAACAGTGGCTTAACCAATAGAAAGTTAAAGGCTCACGTAACTGGATACCCAGCGAATAAGCCTATCACCCAGCTGTGTCATCATGGGCCCTCGTGCTCTCCATCCCTCAGATCTGCTATCTGCAGCATCCTGAGGCCAGGTCCCTGAGGGAGCAAGAGATGTAGACTCTCCATGATACCGGGGTTCTTGTTCACAAAGCCAAAGAATGAGCTTCACAAACACCCAAGGTAGGAGAGCAAAATACAGGCTTTTATTTAGAAATAAAGTGAGAGAGTAGAGCTTCTGGGTCATGCCAGGAGGGGACAAGAGAGCCCATAGGGATGCATTGTCTAGGGGGTTTTATAGGCAGTTGAGGATTTTTCGAAAACATGAAAAAACTTAGGGGTGTGGACTTGCATCACCTGCCCTGTCCTCAAGGTGGGCTGGGTCATAGTCTGATTGCTAGGGCTGACAGCGGGGTCATGGGTTATGCTGATACCCTTGCAGAACACTCAGACATTCCATGCCAAGTTGCTCCTGGCCTTTTGACCTTTAACTGGTATCACTGAAGATGTCTATATTCTTAGGTATCTTTCCCTAGAAAATTAGTGTGACCTTGACTTTGCATAATGTTTAACAGAGTTTCAATGGGGACTTCTTTGCCCACTGTTCATTGCTTTGACTGTAAATATTCTGCCCTGCTTTTCCCCTGGAGGCGCTCACCCTACTTTGACTATACCCATCGTCCCTGACTCATCCATAG